CTCCTTCTATTTTTTCTGACTTCTGCGGCGTAAATCCCAGCGCGGCGTATTTGCCGGAGTTACCCTACTGGACAGAAAATCATGTGATGTCTAAAAATTATCCATTTACCTATTGTGATATATACTATATATGTCTTCTTCATTTGCAAATACATAACCGAGAAGCATCTCGGAATTTATCTTGCCCTTCTTTAATTATCCTCCACTGTCAGATGTCAAAGAAGCAATGATTAATCAGTTCTTTCAGTTAAATAGCATTTTATTATTTTTAACTTCTATATGCGTACTAAAATGTACGTATTAAAATGCGTACTAAAATTTCTGTTATTAGTTTTAAAATAAATAACGTGCACATTAACGTATACACTTGGTAATCAAATTTCGTTTGAGTTAAATTTAATACATTTTCTTGAGATAAATTGCTTAACTCCATTGTTTTTTTTAAAGTTAAATTAACGATTTAATAGGATTGAATAGGGAAAATAGGAGCAGTAGCGACCTGTAAAAATAATTGGATCAACTAAAATTATAATTTGTCATTACAAATTTAACAGGGTCATCTCGTATTATTCGCAATGATGTTTTTATCCGATTCTATATGTATTTGCAGCCGTTTAATTAAGATTGATTAGTATCGACAAATAAGGCAAATAAGGAAGTTACTCGGGAGTTCCGACCGGCTTTATCATCGCCGACTCCGGAAAATGGAGCACGGTCACAATCGTGCATACGTTTGATTTTTCCACGGTCACTACAGGTGGAAATCCATTTTCGTTTTCCGGAGCATTTCACCTTGAAGATGACATCGCATTATATGCGTGCATTTCTTGAGTTCTCTCGCCGACGCACGAAAACGAGTCATGCATGGGCATGGGCGGAGTCCGTGAGGCGACGACCCTGCTCCAATAAATCTGGAGCACGATCGCGTGCAACGATAAGTGAGAAAGTAAATAAATGAATGACCGACTGTCCGCGGTCCGAATTCGTAACGTCATAATATTTCGCCAATTTCGCCACTGCACTCTTGGGCATGACGAAGAATAAACGAAAAGCGCAGGCAGCGCACATCGATTAATATATACAAGTTGCGCACGCAACCACTCAGTGCTCGTTTTTTTTACCGCAAATTCTTCGACTAATTTCCATTAAGTCCATTTTCCACTCTGGAGAATATTGAAGTGTTAACAGTTTTCAAATAATCAGCGTGTAAAGAAATGAAACGTTTCTCGCAAATTGAGCATCGAGGGGACAACAGCAAAATCACGTTTTTCGATTAATTTTAAGTGGATTTCACTCTGACGGAATTTTAATTCAAGATTCAAGGCTTAAGTTATAAAAAAAATGTGTAATATTAAAAAGGAAAATACGTGTGTAAATTTAACATAAAGAATGATTGACAGAGCGTTCAGTGATTCTGGGACGCTTGGTATTCGTGACGTGCAAATTAAATTCATGTGAAACGAGAATGTATATAATTCACCGAATATCTTCTTTATCAATCTACTTTGGACAGAACTGTTGACTTTAAAGAAATAGAATCGCTTTGCAAACAGGTTGCGTGTGTATCTACATTATACATCAATTTCATTAATCATTAGCTTGCTTTCATTAAGACTGAGAATGTTATCTTTGACACATTGAAATTGATAACGTTTTTTATATCAAAAAGAATTGAAATAAACTGAAGGTTATCTTAAACAAGCGTCTAATTCAGCTTATATAAGATTACCGATTTAGTTCTTGATAGATTCGATTTGATATTACTTGCTATATTAATTTAATAATTTTACCAACCTGTACAAATTTAGAGGGCCACTTAGCAATCTACCGTATCGAGTAATAAGGCGCTTATCAAAACGTGCGATCAAATATTGAGGAGATAAGATGCGACTTTAACGAAGCGAGTACATGTTACATAAAGCGCGCGTTATTATATAAAATCGAGAAATTGAAGTTACACCAAAGTAAAAGGACCAAAACAGTTTGATCGGGATAAACAAAGTTTGCGGGTGCCTCGCCTTAGCCTTGATCTACTCTTAAACCTCGCTTCTTCATTGCGCTCATACACGTACTGCTCAACACCTCCTTCTCACCTTGCGCAACGCTCTTACGCTCTGCTGGATGCACGAATGGATGGATGGATGGTCTAAGATCGAATGTATAAAAGCCTTTAACAACCGCGTCCTCGGTCAGACGTGACGGATCCTTGCGGGTGTAAGATCGCGATACGGACCGATACCGATCAGCGATGGTATGTCTCGAGAGGCTGGTGGAACGAGCTGTTGAAATCGCAGCAACCGCGAAATCGAAAATTAATAACGATATGATAATACGTAACGCCAAGGAATTTCAATATGTACGCACAATACCAAAGCTGATTTGAATATTAGCCGGATGACGTAAAAAAAAAAACGTCTGAAATATATTCTAAAAATACTCCTTTTTAACAGTTCTTTACGTAAAGCTATAATAGTAGCATATAGAAAAGCGTAAGCACAGTAAGACGTAAGCAATAGCCAAAATTAATTTGCTTATATGTTACTGCTTAAATTTTTTGTGTGCTACAATCTTAAGGAATATCCAAGAGATTAAGACCCATTTCTATCAATGTAGATTAACTTTAATCTTGGATTAATTTGTTCTATCTTTTTCTAATTCTTAGAACTAGAAGAAGTACGTTAAACCGAGATTAAAGTTAATCTATATTGTTAGAAATGGACATAGGACGGTCTCTGATATCTCGGATATCTTCGCTGGATATCGTCTTTAAGTACGATTCAGCTCGCCGTTGAATATGCTATAAAAAATAGAGACGACATTAATGTATGAAAATATATATTATGAACATCAAGTACAAAGCCGATGACAATGTTTGTGGCAGTACGGTAGGCTGTGTTTCCAGCCGTTTACAATCAAACTTGTCGTTGAAGAAGGCATTTATTCCTTTTTGACAGACTTTGGTTTAATCCCACTCAGTGGTAGTATCCACCATATCCATAACCGTGACCATAGCCGAGTCCGTAGCCATAGTTACCGAGACCATATCCAAGACCATGACCATATCCAAGACCGCTCTGAACGTAGGTGACCGATGGCGGAATCGTGTATCCATAATGGCCGTAGCTTATCGCTGGCGCAGAATAAGTTGGAGCATAGCCTACCTTTGTGAAAGGTGCGGCGTATGCCACTTTTGTGATGGCAGGTGCAACGTACTTAGTGATAGGTGGAGCTACCGCGACCTGAAGACAGAATGAAAAAGAGAATTATATCTCCTCTGTTATTTTGTTTCACATAGCCATATATAAATTAAAATTTCATTAAAAATTTTAATTCTCCCTTAAAATGTGCTCGGTAATTATTCCATTTTTTTTTCTCGTCCGAGAGCGTTATTTTACCGAAATAATAATGCAAAACCTTATTTCTACTGAATTCATTTTGCACGAGAGCTCGTTTATGGATTACAACGAGTGAAACCGGAATTTTCCTCCGGTTGCCCCGGCCATTCGAAGCTGCGCCGGTACGGTGATAATCCTTCCCATCTCGTGTCGTAAGGTTTAGTTACCGAACCGTTTGAGAGCTTACTTTACCTTGTACGTATTGGCGTAGCTGGTCGCAACTGGAGCGTGCACGTATGGTGCGATCGCCGCCACTCCATGACCCAAGCCATAGCCACCATAGCCATAACCGCCATAGCCATAAAGTCCTCCATATCCGGAGTATAGACCGTCGGCCGATGCGTAAGCGACAGTGGCGAGAAGAACGATCTGCGGTAAAGTGTAAATATGCGTCGAGAATACTTCATGTTTAAAGCTTCTTTTATATATAAATTACAACGGAATTTAAGACGCAAGACTTGATATACTCGTAAAACTTAATATAGCGTGCAATACAGGAATCATTTGCGGAATCAAGATCGCAGCTACGAAATTCGAACGTGATCTATCTTTAGGAACAGAAATTTATTAAAATAATATATATTTATAAAAAATATAGTTATTAAGATACATCCCACAGAACACAGTTGTCCGAGAAATATTTTAGGAACATCCTTAGGACATTCCTTGGAAAATTGTGTTGAGTAGGGTAATCTTTCACAATCATAGCAGAAGTAATATAGAATATGAAAGACATTTAATCTATTTTTAGGAACAAAAATTGCGTATCAAATACACACGATTTGATAATTTTTTTCTCAAGTTTCGATCTTCAAAAATTAAAAAACCTAGGAAATATATACAAAAAGAATAGGTTTGCTGAAGTATTTAAAAATAGATAGAGATCTAAAAATAATTTTGTTGGATTTAATATAATTAAAATATAATTAACGCGCGCGTTGCAAAAAGTTTCAATATTCTAGCAATCAGTTTGAAAATCTTACATAAGTATTATATTTTGGTGATTTAAATAAGATTATCTTAATCTATAGTTAATTAAATTTTTAGACATTTCAGTAAAACTATGTAGATGTATAAACGTAGAAAACAAATGCAATGTACAAATATGAGAGCGATTAAAACGGTGTATTTCTCGATTGAGAGCATTTTGCTGCCAATTGCTTATGACGGTGGACATTTCTATGCAAGGTTATCCTAAATGACGGTATGAAGCGGTTTGAAACGGGCGGTTTGCGTCGTCACGCATTATCTTCGGCTTTATTTACGCATATTCAGGATGATTTCAAACGCATATCATACGATATGAATGAAACAAGCGTATTTCAGCGCGATAAAATCGTGCCCGCGGCAGCAAGTAAAGTTCACAGCAAATGTTACGTCCAAGCTGCATTTCTCACGGTATTGCGAATCGACTGTCTCTTTCTCTTTGTTTCTCTCTCTCTCTCTCTCTCTCTCTCTCTGTATAGCTTCAGATAAGTCTATTCTCTAGATAAAAGCTAAGTTGAGAAGTAAGAGGATAACAATTTTCACAGAGAATAAATGTCGAAATGACAATTTTCGAAATACAAACGTTTTACATCTTGCGATATACATATATTCTCCTCAGCATTTCTCCTACATTTAAAGAATCCATTTTTAAAAACTCTGAGAATTATATGAAGTTATGTACATATGAGAGATAGCTGCTAAACTCTGCGTTGCTCGGGAAAACCGCGTGTGGATATCTATACACTTCTCCACGAGAAAAGTTTCGCCAGCATTCGTCCGCCCCGAGTGCCACGAGTACTTCACTCACCAGCTTAAACATGTTGCTCGATCCAAGTGCTTGCGATCTCTTGTCGGTACTGTGGACTGACTACATCTTGAGTACCTCGTCAGATCACTTATATATCCCCCAGCGGATTGTTTTTGCTCGCGCTCGTCCGTCAAAGATCCAAGGGAGAGAGATGCGGAAAAAAGTTTTCCCTGCCAATCGCGGACGACGTAAATTCGCAGGTAAGGTAAACAGTGTAAAGTCCGATCCCCGCCGCCGATAGTGGGGTGGATCGAACCCGGGGACTCGTTACGCGCTCACCTAGATCCTAGATCCTTTGCAGTGCCGCGGATGACTCGTTGCGACCGTTCGCACGAAGGACGAAGCCATTATCGGCCCAAGCGAGAAAAGAAGGAAAAAAAAGAGAAGTATCGGTTGTTCGATTTGCATCGTGAGAAAAAGCGCGTCCGCGTGTCACCTTGAGCGCACACGCGCGCGAACGAGCGCACGAGCCGAGGGAGGAAAGGAGAGAGGTTCTCTCGTCTCTCCTTCGTCTCTTCACCATCGGCCACTCTCAATCGCTTTCTGTAATTATTCGCGCGTCTATGATCTTGTCTGTGCTCCGCGAAGCGTGAACAGAGCAACACGGGGACCTCGACCGATCGAATGTGGCACGCGGTGGTGCGGAGGTGATATACTGACGATACACAGAAAATTCTCTCTCATGTTTCTTTTATGTTTTATCATAATTTTCTTTTGTTTCTATTTTTTTTATATTAACATTTATACTGGCTTCTTATATTATCCTCAAATTTATCTTTATTAGCCCATTACAAGCGCGTTCTGCGCGCGATGACTTACGTCTGCCTAGATACGTCGGCACCTCCACTTAATTAAATCTTAATGAATAAATTATATAATAATGCACTTTCAAAATCCACAAGAAAAAACTTTTACGCTCATTTCGTTTATCTAAAAAAAAAAAAAAAATACTTTTGTGGGGGGGGGCTGTCAAGTCGGCCCACACACGTGTTAATAACAACCGATTTGGAAAAATCATATTCATAGGATTTATGCGCTATTTATGCGCTTTTATATTCACATAGTTTTAATTTTTGTGCTACATTCCTTAAGGGACTTCCCTCTTGGAGCAAACAGATATATTCATCTCTAAGTCGTTTAAAATTGTAAAATTACATTATCTAACTATGCAAAAAATATCTTCGATTTATGCGCTAATATTTCCATTTTTCCAAGCAATTTCGATTTTTGCGCTGCAATCCTTAAGGGACTTTCCCCTTGGAGCAACCATATTGGTTCAACCAATTTTATTTTCCAATCAATTTTATTCAACCACTATATATATTGATACAACCAATTTTATTTTCCAATTTTATGTTTCCCATAGAAAAATTTCAATTTTCTCAAAATTTGTCGATGATTCCCTATCCTGATTCAAAATTTAAAGACCCCGAAAACCATTTAATAAACATTTCGGTGAAATCAAAAGACTTTGAACATTTCCATAACATTTCCTTCCGCCATATTGGACAGCCATTTAGAATTTTCAAATTTTAAGTTCGAATTCAAAATCGAAGGACTTTTCGAAATCAAAGACCCCAAAAATACTTTCATACTACATTTCGCTGAAATAGGAGGATTTTTAGCATTTCCATCGGCCATATTGGTTCAGCCATTTTGAATTTTCAGATTGAAAGTTCAAATTAGAAAAGGACTTCTCGAAATCAGTGTGATTTTGAAAGCCATTTAATAATAACATTTCGCTGAAATCGAAAGCTTTTTAACATTTCGAATTTTCGAATTTTGAGTCCGGATTCGAAATCAGCGATCCCGAAAATTTTTTAATGCTACATTTCGCTGAAATCGGAGAATTTTTAGCATTTCTGTCCGTCATAGTGGTTCAGCCATTTTGAATTTTCAAATTTTGGGTCCGAATTCGAAACCAGCGACCCCGTAAACCCTTTAAAGTTTAATTTCGCTGCAATCGAAGAATTTTTAGTATTCCCGTCCTCCGTATTGGTTCAGCCATTTTGAATTTTCAAATTTTAAGTTCGGATTCGGCATTAACGATCCCGAAAACCTTTTGATACTACATTTCGCTGAAATCGGAAGACTTTTAGCATTTCCGTAAAACTTCAATCTGCCATATTGATTCAGCCATTTTGAATTTTCAATTTTGAGACCGGATTCGAAATCAGTGACCCCCAAAATCCTTGGATACAACATTTTAACGGAAATGAAATACTCTAATAGCCTCAACGAAAAGAGGCTTCAAGGCAAATAACACGGCAATTTTAAAATAGGAAAATTATCTATTTTTCTCGCCGCCGTTGTTATAAATTTATCTATTCTATGTCTTTATATACCTCTTTTATATATTAAAAGAAAATTTAATTTAGATTTTTTCTTATTGCACGTTATGATATCTTTATCGCATATTATTGTTTTATATTTTTATTTCTATACGTATATTACATATATCTATTATTACTGTATTCTCTTGACTCTTTCTGACAAATATACCACTATGTGCATCGATCTCGATGCTTCTACGATCGATGCTTCTACGAGGATGAGTGGGTGTGTCAACGTGAGTGTCACTTCCGGTCGCCATCAGAGCGAAAAATGAATCATCTCGCGTATGCAACGAGCTCGTGGAAATGCGTCCTCTGTACATAACTAGCATAACAATACATTGTACAACTCGATTATTCATAAAATTCACTCGCTCACAGAGATAATAATGCGGATTGTGAGCGCAAAAAAAAAAGAACAGAGGAAAGAGAGGCAGCGTACTTCATTAACCGCGGAACAAACATTTTTGCGTACTCTTTCCTTGCTCGCCTCAATGTCGTATACCTGCAGCCTTGCTGGTCGCGGCGGATTATCTTCATCCTTATTGCGACTCGTGCTTACACGTCACCTCGTATACACCGCCGGTAAACACACAGTGGTAATGCGAGCGTGAAAAATTTCTGTATAATAAACGTTTACTATTCACTGTCACCTTCTTAATAAACTGCACGCTGCATACATATGGATGTACGCAGATATTTCTTGCCCCTAAGACATTTTTATTAAATCGCTTATTTCCTCTTCCATCTTCGATGTGTAGGTCGACTTGTAGATTTGAAAAAGCAACAACTTTGTTCTTACAATTAGAAATCCAATATTAATATACAGATTGTCGTCCAAGAGTGTAATTCACATTTCATTTATAATTCTTTAATCAATTTGAAACAAGTCAAAACTCTTTCTAATAAAAATTCTTCAATATTAATATCATATTTGAATAGTTTTCGAAAATTTGTATTTAAAGAAATTTTACAGAGATAGAATTACTACTAATTTTTTTATCATACATTACGAATAATTCTCCGTTTATTTTAACGAGCTAGCATTTATTGGAATTAAACGGGCAATTCGCTATATATCCTCTTCCGTTTTCGCTGGCCTTTTTTTCGCGTTACGCGGCCATTTGTAACCAACCCTAATAGTTTACGATGCGATTAACTCGCCTGCGCGTCTCGGTATCTACGGTATCTACCCTTACGTGCAGCCACGAGGCACGCCTAGACCGATCGCGAATTGGGGCTAACGAAGATAAATATCGGCGCAATGCGATGTACGTATATCGCAAGTGAGATACGTTACGATGTGCTGTGTATATTGTATATACGCGAATTCTCTTTACGTAAAACGCAAAATGTCGCTACAAGACAAACGGTCCACTGTCTCCTGCCTCCGGGCCCGCGGGCGATCGATTTTTAAAAGACGGCCAGCTACCGAAGAGAGAGCAATACACAGTCGGATGACGATGCACAATGCAATACGTACAAAGGTATGTACAGGGTGTCCCGCTTGTTGAATGTTAATTTCTTTTTAAATTAACGAATTCCTCGATCACAGGGAATTGATTTTTCCTTGGCGAGAAACATGGAAACGCCGATAACTTTCGAGATATAAGTGATTAGAAAAGAAATCTTTTTGCGAATTAATCTCGTGCCCATTTCTACCAATGTAGTTTAATTTTAAGTTCGATAAAGTTAACTCTTTATTTTCTACTTCTACAAATTAGAAAAAAACTAAGTTAAACCAAGATTAAAGTTAATCTATTTTGGTAGAAACGGGCATCAGAAGCCAAATGGGTTTATACATATAATACGTCCTTTCATAATTTTAGATGGACTTTATTCTATAAAATCCTAATTAAAGCTTACTTACAAAGATACGCGATGCTAAAGAAAACTACGCTTTAAACGATGACTTCCCACGTTAGTCACGCTGAAAAAAACTCGAATCCAAATTGATCAAGGAATCCGCCGTCACAAAAAAATAAGCGTCTGTGAAGTTAGCACCCCAACATTGAAATTCCATAGTTCTGATTAGAGTTCCCGTTTCCTTTCGTCGAGACGAAGAGTGTGTTCTCTGTATTTTTTAATGCGAGATTCCATTAATAACTATTTTTAAATAATTTTTTTTAAATGGGGTGCTAACTTCTCAGCGAAATTCGAGATCGAATAGTTCTGAGCGGCTCAATAGCTTCATTTCGTGAATACATAGAGTTCCTGATGCAAAAAAAATTTTTTTTAATAAAAAAAAGTTAAAAATTTTTGAAAAATTAATTTTTAGAAACAATAGTTCTGATTAGAGTTCCTATTTCCTTTTAACGAGACGAAAAGTTCTCTGTATTTTTTAATGCGAGATTCCGTTAATAGCAATTTTTAAATAATTATTAAAAAATGGGGTGCTAACTTCTCAGTGAAATTCGAGATCGAAAAGTTCTGAGCAGCTTATTAGCTTTATTTTGTGAATATCTAGAGTTCCTGAAACATAAAAAACAATTTTGGCAGACAAAAAAATTTATAAAAAGAAATAAAGAATTTTTTATCACTTATTGAATTTCGTGTATCTTGAAACCAGTAGTTCTGATTAGAGTTCTGTGTAGTTCTCAACGAATTCTGTTGAAAAGTATGAGGTGACAAAGCGATTGGACCAATGGTTTTCAAAATACGTGAAATTCAAAAAGTGAACAAAAAATTTTTTAAGAGTGTCAGTAGTTCTGATTAGAGATCTCTGTAGTTCTCGACGAGTTCTGTCGAAAAGTATCAGGTGACAAAGCGATTGGACCAACGGTTTTCAAGATACGCGACATTTGATGTCTATCGTTGAAAATTTTCCATGTGCGATGCCGAAAAATTTTTTGAGAGTGCCAGTAGTTCTGCTTATCGTTTTGGGCAGTTTTCGATTAGTTCTATCGAAATGTATGAGGTGACAAAGCGATTGGACCAACGATTTTCAAGATACACGAAGTTCAATAAGTGAAAAAAATTCTTCGTTTTTTTTTATAAATTTTTTTGTTTGTCAAAATTGTTTTTTATGTATCAGGAACTCTAGATATTGACAAAATAAAGGTACGTATTAAGCTGCTCTTCGATCTCGAATTTCGCTTAGAATTTAGCACCCTATTTTTTAAAAATGATTTATAAATCATTATTAACGGTTATTAACGGAATCTCGCATTAAAAAATACAGAGAACTTTTCATCTCGTTAAAAGGAAGCAGGAGCTCTATTCAGAACTATTGTATCTAAAAATTGATTTTTCAAAAATTTTTAACTTTCTTTTTGATTTTTCAATATTTTTGTTTTGCATCAGGAACTCTATAGGTATTCACGAAATGAAGCTATTGAGCCGCTCAGAATTATTCGATCTCGCTGAGTAGTTAGAATCCCATTTTGAAAAAATTATTTAAAAATAATTATTAAGCGGAACTCTTGTTATAAATTATAGAGAACTCTTCGTCTCGACGAAAGGAAACGGGAACTCTAATCAGAATTATGGAAATTCAATGTTGGGATGCTAACCTTCACAGACGCAAAAAATAAGTCGCGAGAAGTTGGACACCTTGTATTTAAGCCAAAAGGGATTAAATCCGTTAATCCGTGAATCCTGCCCGTTTTATATGATACATGGCATTTTTTTTATTTATCGTTCTATTTTGCTTATCGGACAACGTCAGCTCCGCGCCGCCGTCGAATAAGTCCTCTTGCTTATTCTGTATCGACGTCGATGACAAGCTGCAATAAACGTTTGTAAACATGTCCGCTTTCGCGAGCTGATAGGAGACCGCGTAAGCGTCACGCTTATTTTGTTTTTCTTTCTTTTTCTCATAACGCCATTATATAATGCCGTTCGCAATCGAGGTCGTTAACGAGAACCGAGCGAAGATGCAAGATCGCGAGAAACCGCGCGGCGAGAACAACACTCGGTGACGGAAACTGGAACACCGTGATCTAAATCCCAAGTTTATACGTCTGCATTATTAGCATTAGCATTCTGTGTGTGGACCACACGTGCGCTCGGCAGGAGTGTCCGGCTTCCTCGCCCATCCTTGCGCACATTTCTGTCGCGGTTACGTAAACGCCCTCACGTTAGGTAAATGTGGACATGCAACTCCGCAAAAACTTGCTTCTTCAAACCTTCGAATTATTTCTAAAAAATTTCTTAAAAAAAGCAACGTATCATATAATTGCTGCAGAAAGCTTGATGCAAAAGTAGACATATATATATAATCTACATTTTCTTACATATTCCTTTTTAATATTTTTTGGAAAATATTTTAGCGAGATAATCCTTCCGGATTCTCGCTTCCATTTCGAGATTTCGCGAATCTCCGATGTAATATTGACCGAGGAGGATATTTTTCCTGCTGTGAGTGATTGCCTTATTTTTCGCTGAACATTTAGGGATGCGTGACATCACGTCGCTTAACAAGTTCTCGCCTCGGCAATTGTGCAATTATTGTTTGCCAATAATGTTCTTGATCGCAAAGACCAAACGCGAGAATGCGGCTGATTGTACGACGTCGGCACCGGCAATCGGCAGTGATGCCGGCGTGATGTACGAGCCTCCGATACGCGCCCTGCTGCGATTTATTACGGCGCGTTATCGCGGCGTCGGGAATTGTAAAAGAATCGCTCCCGGGCGTAGAATGGAGTATCCCGAAATAAATCGACGAGTGATTTTTAGTCGTCTAAACGGACCGTTGCCGTTATTCCGCGAATGAAAATAGCATTTAATAAAATTAATAGAAATAATCGTGAAATTAAAGCGCGTATTAAAATTTAAATACAACGAGAATAAAACATAATAAATTTAATTGCGAGAAGCATATAATGAATACGTTGCTGAGTAACAAGGAATATTGTACGAATAGTACGCCGCTTGAAATATACAGAACGTAGTGAAGAGATCGGTTTCAATTTTTAATTAAGGTATAAAGTGTTCTTCTCTCTCTCTCTCTCTCTCTCTCTCTCTCTCTCCTTCTCTCTTTGACTTAATACGTAACCGAAGGTAAGCAAGCGCCGTCAGTGGTGCTTGCGCGTAGCGTTTTACTTAAAGGAGAGGAAACAGGAAACGTTTCCCCGATACGTACATTTCGCATTATCTCCGTAGCGACCGGAGGTTACCCGGAAACCACGCGCAAACCCCACAGTGAGAGAGTGTTCCGTTTTCGTCGTGTTCTAGACGTGGTTAAGAGGATGCGAGAGAAATGAGTGCTTCTTACGCGGTAAAATGGAGGAGCAGGAGCTTCTTCTTCTTTCTCTTTTCATCTTTTTTGTTATTTTCTTTTTCTTTTTTTCTTTATTTTGTGCACGTAATATACTTTCGACGATGGGAGACACGCGGAAGACAAGGAACAACAAGCTGTCGGCCGACATTGGCTCAGCTACATATTATTTTACACTCTAAGAAGATACGAGGGTGGGACGAAATAACTACGTAAAGAAACGACGAGAGCGGAAAGGAAGCAGCAGGTATAGCGAGCACTCGATAAACATCTTCCAGAGATGGGGACGATCTTCACTTCTCCTCGCCCTCGCCCTCTTCCTCCTCATCAAACTCTCCCTCCTCGTCGGCGGTCGCCTCCTGGTACTGCTGATACTCGGACACGAGATCGTTCATGTTGCTCTCAGCCTCGGTAAACTCCATGTCGTCCATACCCTCGCCGGTATACCAGTGCAGGAACGCCTTGCGTCGAAACATTGCGGTGAATTGTTCCGATACCCTCTTGAACAGCTCCTGTGGAACAAAAATAATTACATTTTCGATATAATTAGTCCTTCCTGCTTTTTAAGTAATATATTATACATTTAACGAATCGAATGACGGATGATAATTTGTTTTGGGAAAATTTGCAACTCTGAGAAATTGATTGAAAATTTAATTGATTCACAGTTGAATTCTCTCTTTGTTTGACAACAACCAAACAGCAAACGAACCTGAATAGCCGTAGAATTGCCAATGAAAGTCGCGGACATTTTCAGACCCCGCGGGGGTATGTCACAAACGGCAGTTTTCACGTTGCTCGGTATCCATTCGACGAAATAGCTACTGTTCTTGTTCTGGATGTTGAGCATCTGCTCGTCCACCTCCTTCATCGACATTCTGCCACGGAATACTGCGGCTACTGTCAAATATCTACCGTGTCGCGGGTCGCACGCGGCCATCATGTTCTTCGCATCAAACATTTGCTGGGTGAGTTCAGGTACCGTAAGTGCCCGGTACTGTTGCGAACCTCTAAAATATCATTTTAGAATTACGTCGAAAATAAGAAAGCCGGAAAATTACGTACGCTAATAAATTTTCCTCTAAATAATTAATTAATTAATTAATTACATTGATTTTATTGCATTGCAATTTAAAAAATTTCGTTTAAATAAAATAACGATATGACATCAACTCTTATACCACTGATGTTCCATTTAATAATTAGTTTTCTTTAATTTATATAATTAGTTTTCTTTGCGAATATGAGACCTAGAGGTTAGAGGGGCAAAGCCGGGGATGAAGAAATGCAGTCGCGGGAAAGGAACCATGTTGACGGCAAGCTTTCTTAGGTCTGCGTTAAGCTGGCCGGGAAATCTCAGGCAAGTGGTAACGCCGCTGAGGGTCGCGCTGACGAGATGATTGAGATCACCATAGGTTGGCGTGGTCAGCTTGAGAGTCCGGAAGCAGATGTCATAAAGCGCCTCATTGTCTATGCAATACGACTCGTCTGTATTCTCCACCAGCTGATGTACCGAGAGAGTGCAGTTGTAGGGCTCGACTACGGTGTCCGATACCTTCGGAAGGAGGCGAGAATAGATGCTGACGTACAACGTATGGCATCCCGGCCGCGGTATCGGTCGCGTTCGCGTATCGCGCAAACATGAATACACAAACGAGAGAGAGAGAGAGAGAGAGAGAGAGAGAGAGAG